CCCTCTCCCCCCACCCTCCCCCTACCCTCCATCTGCGATAGTGGGCGTGTCCTAACAATGATGTGTACGCAACTGCGTGTCTGCATATCTGCGCCTAACAAATGTGGTACTACGCACGACTGAAATTTTACGTTTATAATCGTAGCAACAGACCTCAGATGAGCCCAGACGCTCTGCGGCTCTTGTTTAAATAAGGTTAGGGTTATGGTTAGGGTCACAATGCACCATAAAACAGGAGTTTCAGGCAGGCGATTTGTATCAACCAATGGGATTTGGGAGGTATACAGAATGCAGAACGTTGCTGAAATGATGTGTACGCAACTGCGTATCTGCATATCTGCGCCTAACAAAGGTGTCACTACGCACGACTTAAATGTTACTTTTATAAACGTAGCAACACACGTCAGATAAGCCCAGATGCTCTGCGGCTCTTGTTAATCAAATAGTATGTTTTCCAGTTTTCCCATAAAACCTGCAACACATGAATAAAAGAGCATACAAACCCCTGATCATGTATAAAGCTGTGGACCCACTATGCAATTTTTCAGGTGATTGAGTCGCCCGACTCAATTGCCTGAAAAATCGCCTAGTGTGTTCGTGAGTCGCCGGCAATTTTCAAGTCGGGCGATCGAGTCATCCGAATCAAACATGCTTGATAAAATCGGGCAATTATTTGAGTCGCGCGACTATATACAATGCGCGCCCATACAATGCAATACTAAACAATGCTCTACTACGTGCGCCCGAATGTACAATTCATCAGCCAATCAAACGGTGCCATTCTCAATCATGTGACTATCAATCGCCGACGAATCGCGCTGAAAATTGCCTAGTGTGTCCACTCAGTCGCCCGACTCAATCGCTTGAAAAATCGCCTAGTGTGTCCACAGCTTTAAGGGCCGGACACACTAGGCAATTAAATCGCCGGTGAAATCGCCTAGTGTGTCCAGTCAGTCGCCGCCGATTTAGTCGCCCGATTTAATCGCATAGATCAAAACGTTTTGATATTATCAGGCGAATATTTCAGTTGCCCGATAAAATCACCTAGTGTGTCCACTCGACTTGCGCGATATTATCGGGCGATAAAGTAGCCCGATTAGATCGCATTAAAAATCGCCTAGTGTGTCTGGCCCTTTAGTTTCAGTTGAATTATGTAACATTCCACACATTGTTTGAACAATGTAATAGTTTATTATTAAGTAGTTATGCTTGCCCGATTCATTAAGCTCAACTGCTTGTCCATTCTACATTCGTCAGCCGAGTTCTTAAACTATTACATTGTTCGAATTACATCCGTAGCATTTGTTGTATTAGACTAAGACTGAGATGTGGTTTGCAGTCTTTATCATTGTTCAGGCTATAGTTTATAAGCCCTTTATACCATTTATACCACTATGTTTTTGCATTCTCATATGATCAATTATATTTACATGCAACATAGACAACACTTACAATTACATATACAACATATATATTCTGTTAATAAATTTTTTTACTGCTAGAGAAGCTTGATAAATTTCTTGATGATGGTGTAATGATTCCTAATGCAATTTTTGTTTGTTTTTATTAAGCTCGTGATCCAGCCAGGGGACACGAAGCTGTACAACAGTTGGAGCGAGATGGTTTTCATGCCAAATTTCACTTGCTAGATATCACTAATACAAGCCACATTGAAGGTTTACGCAAGTTTCTGCTTGCAACATATGGAGGGCTCGATGTCTTGGTCAATAATGCTGGAATAATGTACATTGTTAGTATTAATTGATGTAGCAATTCATTAGTGCATTTATCACAAGATTTGATGTAATTGATATCCACACGCGTTGGGCATAATTTAAGTCCTATACATGACCTCAACTACTGATATACTTGACTAAACAATGCGCTGGGACTTTCTGTTGTGCAACTGTTAAACAGGTGTCAATGAGTACGTCCTACGTATGATAATGTTGATTTGGCATGCAGGGCAAGGAAAAGGAAGAAGTAGCAGCAATTGTTCAAGCTACAACTACACTACAAGTCAACTTATTTGGGCACCTGGAAGTGTACAAACACTTGTTTCCTATTTTTAGACCACATGCAAGGTATGTTATTTGATGTATTTATAATTACCTCCGCCACGGAGTGGAGCGGAGGTAATGTAATCGGTCTCGTGTGTGTGTGTGTGTGTGTGCACTCGGTTGCTTGGTCGTTTCTTGTTGTACTCCTGTTTACTATTCTGCTAACTATTTTTCCACATTAATTTCGAATCAGTCCGAAATATGATTACGAAATTCCTAATAATTAAGCAAAGTAAGTACAGGTAGTAAAATTGCTTTAGAAAATTCTCTCAATACGTGCGAGCAACGATGGAAGAGTTGTATCAGATCTGTCTCCTCACATCTCTGTAGACATAAGAGGTTTTAATCC